GTAAGAAACCAACTTCATAACTCAAGGCTGAAAGCACGTTTCAAACAAATCTTAGCTAAGATCAACCAGATTGTTGGGGTGAGTAAAATAACCAGCAGTGCCTAATTTTAAAAAAGGAAATGAAAGCTTTCATGACCACTTCAGAGTAGGCTCAGTTTTTTTGCTGCTTGTTCCTGTGATTTATTTCTCATCCAAACTGGCCCAATACTATCCATTGTCAAAACCATGGCTTTGTGAACTGGGATTTTCAGAGGCTATCATCCTATTTTTTGCTAATTGAGTTTGAGCTAAGCTCTTCCCAGGAAAGAAAGCCTCTTAGCGAATTACTTATTCAGTTCCCCTGGGTGCAAATGTGATGGTTGTTACTGCAGCTTGTAATTCAGGCACAGGAGACCCTTAAGGAACATAAGTTTTAAAATTCCCTCATGTTGAATCTTCTGAATAAAAAGTAACCTAACCAGTTGAGAGATTCAGTGTGCCTTTTACTATTTTTGTTTTTTTAAAAATATATATACTTGGTGAAATTGCCAAAGATGTTTAGGTACACAGCGCCTTGGCAGGTACTCTGTCTATCGATGGAACAAGGTTTGAGGGTAAGAGAATAATTTATTTTACATGTCAGAAATTGCATTTTTCCTAAATAGTCTGAAGTATGTGTATCTGTGCATCTGTCTGTTTCTTTGTGTCATAGAAGTAATCTTATGGATGAAAACAAGCTGATTTTTCCCACTGATTATATATTGCTTTTTGTATATGTGAATTTAGATTGAAGATATAGCTATACTTGAAAGTCTACATTTCCTCTAAATTTTTAATTTAGAAAGAAGCACTAAGGGGGAGTAAATGAACATTATTTAGATTTTAAACAAAGTTTAGCTGTTTGTTTCAAGGGCTGGAGCTTTTTCTTTCTTCAGATTTCCAGAGAAAGCTTTCCAGAGTTTGCATTTCTTCAACTGTGGTTATTTAAATTTTTATGTATATATTGTATATTCTTCAGCAAAATACCCATTATTCTCAGAGAGGGGGGTTTGTCAAAGGCCTATAGAGTGCAGGAGTGCAGTGCCACCACATTTATGTGTATACAGGGTTGTTGCACATTGCCAGATGGGAGCCAAACCACCCAGTGTCAGGGAGAAAAAATGCCATATACTGTATCCCCTTGATATGCTGGCAAGTGCTTGACTTTTCTGCTGTAGGAATGAATGACATGTTTTCACTTACATGGAAGAAAGTTACATGGTGCATTTGGGGACAGTGAAGCTTAGTGAGTGAAGCCTGTTCCTCTCTATGTAACCACACACACACACACACACACATACACACTTTCATTTGCACTGACCCATCTAGGATTTTGTTTTGTAGTCATGCTATAGCAGGGGTGAAAATCTGCCACCCCCTCATTGGGACCACATTCCTTTGAGGATAATCTGTCAGTGGCCACATGCCAGTGATGGGTAAGGCTAGAGCCAAAAGTGGGCAGGCCCATAGACAACAATTGATAGATCCAGAGACACCCTGCACACTGACACCTGTATTTGTATATACATACATAATGAGATATCTTGGAGATGGGACCCAAGTCTAAACTCAGAATTAATGTATGTTTCATATGCAATTTATAAATGAAGATAATTTTATACAATATTTTAAAAATAATTTTATGCACAAAACAAAGTTTGTGTACACTGTGCCATCGGAAGGCAAAGGTATCACAGTCTCAGTCAACTTTGTTTTTGGAGTATTCCAGATAAAAGAGACTAAACCTGTATATTCATTCGCCTCTCAACACACATACCGTACTGTCTATCTGTTCTCACAAACATATAAACTCATGTGCCATTTAGCTATCCAGATAGTCTCAGTTCGGGATGTGAAATGAACATAAGGTTCTCTGAGTTCATTTATTCCCTTTTTTACTTCCCAAGTAATTTCCAGATCATCTGACTTAATTTATGTATCTCTCCATACATGTTTTACTCATCAGTAAAGCTCACTCACCCTCCTAGACTCCTTTGCATGTAAATCTATGGAACAACAGCCTCATCAATCACCCTCCCTTTTGATTTTTGAGAGAAGGACAGGAGGCATCTGAGCAGCTTGCTGTCAGCTTATTTCTATTCCCTCCTCTTTTTCTTGGACACTGTTTTAGCTGAGGCATGAAAAAGGGTGGACACTGAGTAGGAAAGAAAGCAAGGGATGGGCTGTGTCTCTTCAACCTTACTTAAGTTGCCTTGGGCCATTTGTTGAGAGAAAGACAGGCTAAAACCTAAACATTAAAAAATAATGACATATAGGCTCACAGTTTCCCTGGCTGAAGGAGACTTCTTTCCACTAACTACTCATGGCCTGAGAGTATGTGTGTGTTACCTTAATTTGTTGTTTCATAGTGAGGCATCCCTCCCTTGTTTGGAACAAGGACTGTCCTTGCTCCATTATCGTTTTCTGTGCCTGGGTGGAACCAGCAGTAGCAGAAAGAAAGTAGACCAGGGAGGTGTTGGCTGAACCAAGGATGCCTGTCAGGAGATATTGGTACGGAAAACTGTAGAACATGCCACTTTAGAGTGGACAAGGTACTTTGAATCCAGTGGCTTTCTTCTGATGCTGTACTTTCCCCCAACTCCTTCCAACTTCACCTGACTTCTTCTGATGCTGCATTTTGGGCAGTGCTTCCCAGTTTTTGCTATTACTAGTTCTGTACTGATGTTGACAGAAACCTATGAGGTACCTCACTCTGATTTAATGCTTTTGAGCCTGATAAGCCACATAGGTTTTGGAATGGAGAGTCTGGTGAGCCAGAGCAGATAGGACTAGCAAGGGCTGCAGTTGAGAAGATAGCATGGAGCAAAGGAGGAGAAGTTGTATATTTTGTCAGATTAGTTTAATCAGCGATCAATTTTATGTAAAATGGCTTTCTATTATTTTCTTAGAGCAAGCCAGGCTATGGAGTTTGTATGGAAAACTTTTGACTTTGACTCCTCTATTTTTCTACTTTCCAACTCCAACTCCTTCATGAATCACAAATTTATATTAATAAGTAATAACAAATGGTAGCACAAGATATTTTTTCAGAGCCACATGAATCATCAGCCTGCTTAGTTTGATAGTAATTGATTAAAATTTCTGAACAAGTAAAGCTTCCTAAATTCCTATGAAAGTAAATGTCCCCCGACCTATGCATTTAACATTAAAAAAAATTATTTTATTTCATTTCTATCAACTCTACCCAAAATTGCGTCTGACTCCACAACTCTGACTTTTTAGATCCCAAATGCAAGAGGGCTCAATTAGACAGTCTTATACTTCTATTTAGCCCAGTGGAACATGGGCTCCAGTAAGCATGTTTAGGATTGCACTGCAATATTGCCAACACAGAAGTGAGTACTGAAATAATAGTGCCTGAAATACCCATGTTTTGTGTGCATCTTTTCCTGAGCGAAGTCTGTTGTAATGGATTTGTAAATCTTAAAGCTGAAATCCACTGAATGCTGCCAACCATTTTTCATTTTGCCTCCAGAGGATTTGGCGTTAAACTCAAGTAATTATAAGGTGATTATATATTTTTCTGGTTTTGATGATGACAGCCAATGGCAGTAAAATAAGTAAACTTTTTATGACAAAACTGATTAACTCTCCCATGTTCCTAACATCACCTTCTTAATATATGCGCCTTCATTCAGGTATACATCAGTTAACAAAGATCATTACTGCTTTAACAGGAAATTTGACAGCAGAGGCAGAAATAAGAATAGGGATAGGTTCCTACACCACTGAAAAGAAGAGCAGTTCAGTGTATTTCAGCAAAGATTTTATTGACATCTAACAATATGCATGTATGAAATTAAACAACCAGGTTAGGTGAGCCTTGCATAAGTAAACAGAAATATTTTAATCTCCTAGAAACCATTTGAAAGTGTCTCCAAATATGTATCCAAGGATAATTTTTTTTCTTGTAACAGCTTCCATTTTTCTGTTGCTTTCCATTTTAGTGGTTGTACTTATATATCTTTGCTTTTTTTAACATGGGGGAGGGAACTGCTCAGGTAGGCTTATTTGCCTACCTTTTCTCTCTGTTTTAGTGTCCACACAGGCTCAGTAAGGGATTTTGGAAGCAGCTGCTGTTTACCTTGCCTGCTATAGGCAGACTCACACAACTACAGTAGGACCAGCTATGGTAGAATTCCATTTTTTTCTCAGCTCAGACTTTATTGCATGGTTTACTGCAGAGACACTGCTAAACCCTGATGATGAAAGTCTGTAGTATCAGCCTTCCTTCATCTTTCTCCTAGTGCCAGTACTGCTTTAAAAAACTTCCAGTTAAACAGAGGATAAGGAGGAAAGGTTGGGGGCTAAGCAGGTGTAGACTTTGGAAAAAGGAGCTTCTTTGTCACAGGCTTTGGAGATCATTGCACAAGCTAAAAAAACTCTGGAAAACATGACTTACCTCTCCTGAATTAAAGTAAAATTCAAGCTGCATCCAGATCCTATTGCACGGCTTTCCCCCCAAAAAACCACCAACCAAATGCAACCCGAGTCACTTAACTCGCTCTGGCTGCCATTTTTCAAAGTCAGAATTACAAGCAACTCTCCAGGGAACTCTCTTTATTAAAGGAAAATATGCTCTGTGTGACTTTATGTGTTATAAATATATTCTTGTGGAATAGTTTATTTCATGAGGCATTTGACCAATTTACACCATAAAATAATTTATTGAATTTATATTAGTCCTGAATAATCAAAAGGGTAGTACTCCCGACAAATTATTGCTGTGATAGTAGAGTATTGAAATTGGATATCCTCTTTCTTTGACTGCATTGCTTTTGTTTTGCTTTGTTTTGTTTTGTTTTAGGTTAGATGGCCTCATAGGAACACAAAGGCAAAGAAGTTTTGCCAAGAAAACCCTGTGATAGGTTCGTCTTACGTCTTAGGGTCACCATAAGTCAGAAACAACTTGAAGGCACACAACAACAACAACAACAACAACAACAACAGATATTTAGAGAGCCAGTGTGGTTTAGTGGTTTGAGCATTGGACTGTGACTCTGGAGACCATAGTTTGAATCCCTGCTCAGCCATGGAAACCTATTGGATGACACATTCTTTCAGCCCCAGAGGAAACTAACAGGGGTTGCAGACTGCTAGAAATAGTGCAAATTGAGTCCACTTTTAGGGTTAGGGTTAGTGCTAGGGAATTATGGGAATTGTTTTTTTTTCTGGGACATTGAGCCTTCTCTGTCAGAGAGCTCTGGTGCCACAACAAACTACAGTCCCCATGATTTCCTAACCCTAACCCTAACCCTAAAAGTGGACTGAATTTGCACTATTTCTGGCAGTCTGCAACCCCCCTAAGGCAACCCCACTCTAAACAAATCTTGCCAAGAAAACTCTGTGATAGTTCACCTTAGGGTTGGCATAAGTCAGAAATACCTTGAAGGCACACAGCAAGAGATAGTTGCTGTTACACACTGTGGGGAGCACTCATCCTATTACCTAGATTAATTTATTTTAAAACAGGAAAATTACTGGATTCTTTTGACTGTCACATATATAGGCACAATTAGTATCCAGCTGACAGTACTATTGAACTGGTGTACAGAGTTGGTGAGATGGAAGTAAACTGCAGTCTTGCTGCAGTTTTGTGATAGCTTTCCCATAGAAACATATTTTTAAGGGATTAAGTTAAGACCCCTGCCACAGGTGCTTAACTGTACATTTGCAGAATATAATGGAAATCTAGACATATCCTAAACAAAGTCTAAGGCAGTAATACTGTACATGGTTTCCAGGAGTGTTGTTTTTGTTACTGGTCTTACAGTGACCCTAAGGCGAACCTATCTTAGGGTTTTCTTGGCAAGTTTGTTCAGAGGGAGGTTGCCATTGCCAACCTCTGAGGCTGAGAGAGTGTAACTTGTCCAGGGAGTAAGCCCCAGTAAACACAGCAGAGTTTCTTAATAACCATGTACAGAATTGTGTGCACTTAGGCATGTGTGGAATCACCATGTAAAACTAAACCAAGTTGCATTGTAAGGAATGGGGGAAAACTTTTAGAGAGACTTTGGCACGCTGCTATCTTCTTGCATAATCAAAAGTTTAGCCAGCTCTGATAAAATAAACACATTGAGCTTATGGGACCAGAAACATTTGTTTTTGTTTAGGAGACCACATTATAGCATATTGTTTTACAGCATTCTTTGTGGTTCTTTATACTTTGAGTAAACCAAACAAAGAAAACCTAACATGGCAATGAAGTTTATTAAAATACAACTCCCATCTGATAAAAGTTTCACTTAAGAATTATTTAGCTGACTTGGCATGTGAGTTTTCCTTTTCTTTTTCTTTTTCAGAAATGGTGGTGAAGGCACCTCCTTGTAGTGAGACTTGTAATAGTTTTGTTTAACCCTACAATATGAAGTGTAATGCAACTGTGAATAAAATATGTGTTGAAGTGCCAGAGTAAGGCTTCCCTTGCTTAGATATGATGAATAATCTGGTATGGCAGTTTACCATTCTTGGTCTGTCTTTCCAACAGTATACTGGGGGTACTAAATAACATAGCTTCTGAGAAATCATCAGTTGGTTTCTGCAGATTCTTTTTTCTGAAACAGCTGACTTAGTCATGATCTCTTCCTAATTCCATTTAAGGCACATCTTCAAACTGGAGGGGGAAAGCATGCAAGATGTCAGTAGCTGCTCTAATCAGTCAGTAGGCAATTTAAGCATATTTATTGTCCAGTCTGTATCCAACACCCACATATAAAGACTTACCTAATTGCTGGCCTGTGCTTTTTTGCTTTTTTGCTATCCCCTTGACCTTTATGTTTAATTTAATGGAGCATTGCAAAGGATGGTCAGATTCCATGTTACCGAGTTGAACGTTTAATATAGAACCTCTAATATTTCTCCTTAACTATGGGCCTTTGCAGACTTCCAGAAATAGTGCAAATTGAGTCCACTTTAAGGGTTAGGGTTAGGGAATCATGGGAACTGTAGTTTATTGAGGCACCAGAGCTCTCTGACAGAGAAGGCTCAATGTCCCAGAAAAAAAAATTCCCATGATTCCCTAGCACTAACCCTAACCCTTAAAGTGGACTCAATTTGCACTATTTCTAGCAGTCTACAAAGGCCCTATATTTCTAAATAATAAAACTAAGTACAGTTGGCCCTCCTTATCTACTGATTTTTTTTATCAATGGATTCAAGCATCCACAACTTGAAAATATAAGTATAAATTCCAAATAGCCAACCTTGATTTTCTATTTTATATAAGAGACACCATTTTGCTATGGCGTTATATTTAATGGGACTTGAGCTTGGATTTTGTTATCCAAGGGGGATCCTGGCACCGAACCACAGTGGATACCAAGGAACCACTGTACATCACTTTAGTGTGATTATCAGAGAACAAATAGATTTTCCCTTTACTTCATTGATCAGTAACAGTAACTAGAAATTTAAGTCCAGTGTAGAGTGTAAAAGCTCATTTTCTGTTTCTGTTTGTAACAACTTTTGGGAAGGCCATTGTATACAATTGAAAAAGTGATCAGACCTCTGGAAAAGTAACCGCATGGCCAAAGGGGGAGGAGCCAGCTAGCAGACAGTCCTCCCCTAACATCTGAACTGAGATCAGAAAAAGAAAATGCAGGCAGGCCTAAGACTAACATCTTCAAATTTTTTTCTCCTGTTTGCCTGATGAAGAAGCCACTGTGACTTTGAAAGCTTGCAACATGTAATTGTGCATTTTGGTTGGCCCAAGAAAGGTATCATTGTTTGGATGTTATTGGATTTGCTATATGGCCAACACGGCTACCCCTAGATGTTCATTGCCTACATATATTAGTCTCCAGCAAGTTTCCAGGAAAGAAAGAAACAACTTTAGCCAATGGGAACAAATGCAGGACTCTTCCGTGTCACTTTCGGAAAATGGAGCCCCGTCCCCACATCAGGTAGCTATAGAAGCACTGTGCTAGCATAAACTGCTGTGAATTATCTCCTTTCAAAATCTGTAAGAAACTATTGTAGAGACTGTCTTATACCAGACCAAATGGTTTGTCTATCTCGCCAATTGTTGGCTGCATAGTCTCTCTGGGTTTTGGGTCAGTGACTCTGCCACCAGCCTTTTAACTTATCAGTGGGCAAACTGTGACCCATTGAAAAATATAATTATTTCACAAAAGAATTCCATAGCATTGAGCCATGACAGTTAAAGTGGTATCAAACTGCATCATTTTGTAGTGCAGATGCAGCCTATGTGACATACTATTGAGCTATGGGCCCTACTAATATACTTAAACTATGATATGTAGAGGGGCTCCCAGACCAATTTTGTACCTGCTTGAATGCTGCTGTTTGGAAATAACCTATTATATGCTGCATTTGCACTCAAGAAATAATTCAGTTTGACACTGCTTTAACTGCCATGACCCAATACTGTGGAATTCTGGAAATTGCAGTTTTGTGAGACATTTAGTCTTCTCTGTCAGAGAACTTGGTGTCCCAACAAACTACAATTCCCAGATTTCCATAACTTTTAAGCCATGATAGTTAAAGTGGTATGAACCTGTATTATTTCTATAGTGTGGGTGCAGCTAAAGAGAAACAGAAAAACAGGGAGAAGATTAATACCCTTATTTTGCTAGTTTTCTATATGTGGGAAGAGATATTTATTTTTGCATGGACATGTTGCAAAATGTAGGAATACCTTTACTATTCAGTCCTATTTAGTGTACAAACTGGCACTCAGGGCATGAGACAACCTGGCTAATAGTACATATACACTTAAAGGTTCCAAAGCTCATAAGCAGCTGAGAGAATAGACGTTGTAGAAATGTTTAAGTAGATCTGATAGTTTGTGGGATATGTTTCTAATGAGTAGATTTTACTTTTATGGAAAGGAAAGAAGCCACTGCATATTGCACAAATATGTCTAAAGAGGAATCTTATTATTTGGATAATGGTCATTACAAATGTATTGTATATTTGTAACTAGAGATGCCAGCTCTCTGTACAAGAGCCTTTATTTATGCAAATGTCCTTTCCAGATAGATTAGAAACAGGCTTATTTGCAGGACAGAATATCTGATAACCTCCTTTTCTCCACCCCAAAAAATGATTTCCCTTCTGCAGCTCTACAGTAGAGACCGTGTTCTCCAATCTACTCTATAATTGCATTAGCATGTAAATGTCTTGATGGCCTGGTTTCCTGTCCTATTAAACTGACTTCAAGCACCTTAGGCTGTTCACAATTGTCAGCAACATTTATCATTTTTTAAAAACTATTATATTCTATTGTTTTGCCCCTATAAAATAAGGGAGGTAAACACTGTATGTTTCTTCTGCCAGAAAACGAGCAGTATAGTGGATGCTGAAAATAAAGCAACGCTTTTTGTTCTGTTCTAAAATTTATTTATAGTGTAGGGATTTCACATACTGTAATTGGTTTTGCTAGATATAAATTATTGGAACACACTGTACTGCATCTAGTTAAAAGCTAAACTTTCCTCAGAAATTGAATACTTGCATGAGCATGTGGGGTGAATAAGAGAGCCTTTATTTTTAATGAGTTTCACAAATTATTGAACTGTACTATCTCAAATACAGACTTATTTATTTATATCACATTTATGAATCCCAGCATATGCCTAAAAGACATGCTGTTTAGAAGTCCATCATCCTAGGAAGTACAGAGAACTGTAGTTCTGTGAGGTTGGGGGGACACTCTGGAGCATCTTAATAGAGAGATGCTCTTTTTTAATTACAGATTTTTTTTCAAATTACAGTTGTCAGGATTCTTTTACAGAAGCCATGAAGCTTAAAATACCATATAGATAATGTTCTTCAGGCAGCCCCTCACAAGAGGTTTTCTGCCAGATGCCTACTCAGATCTACACATATGCTATAAATCAATGCCCTCTCCATTTAAAGAAGCTGGGTGATGGTATAGCAGTTAACTGGACTAGAAGACATTGAATTCACAGAGTGATTTTTGAGCCAATCACTTACTCTCTCTCTGCATCTGAGCTGCATCACAGGGTTGCTCTGAGAATAAAATGGGACAGAAGAGAGCAAATTTGAAGAA